CCAGGCCTCTGTCCTTGGCTTTTATATGACCTCTCTTAGTCCTTGAACATGACCCTGTGTTAGCGTGTGCTCAGATTTTCTCTTCAAAAAAGGGCACCAGTCACATTGGATTAGGGCTCACTGTGCTCGCCTCATTTTAACTTAATCATCTCTGTAAAGACCCCATCTCCAAAAGTAGTTATATTTTGAAGGATTAGGCCAACACCCATGAATTTGGCGGTGGGGCACAATTCGGCTCACAAGTCTTGGCTCTGTAGAGCTAGCTGTGTAACCACAGGCCAGTCACTGCGCTGGCTTGAAACAGCCTTCTGTCAGAGAGGGGGCTTAAAGACATCACTTTCAGAGCCCTTCTTCCCTAAAACTAAAATGAGATACCACATTTTGGTTCACATTTTGAAGATCTTAGGAATTAGCTAACGGCTTTGCTGGTGTCAACAAAACTTTTAAATTTTTAGAAATTTCTCACTTTCTGTTTCTACCACTCACCCAAGTGCCTCTCTGCATTCTGTTACCTCTTAGTTGAATTCTGAAAGACAATTTAAATGATGAGTTCTTTTCCTTAGAACCCATCTGTTCTCATCAGTCTATTTGAAGTTCAGATCCAGGGGTTAAAATGGATTCTACTTAGAATTCGAGATGTCTAATGTTCAAATAATTCTACCTGCAAGCATTTTAAAATAAGTTTTAAGCCAAGTATTTTATTATGCTTGTCTATTAGGGTAAGTTATGCTTATTGAATAAGGTTCACTTTTCAAAACACTGGATTCAAATATGAGATAATATTTCTGGCATTTTAAAACAAACCTTCCAGAACTTACACATATAAATGAATGTTTTCCACCCCTGTCCCCCTCTGTGGGTAACTAACAACACTGTAATTATTATATGTTTTTTTTCCAAGCAGTTTATAAATCACACAAGAAAGTTAGTCCATGTGCTCTCTAAGGTGTAAAATTGGTTTTTAAGAAATGTGTCTATTTACTTATAGTAACATGATAGTACAAGATGCTAAGTTATAACTACTCTTTACACATCTTGTTGTTTCATTGGCAGGCCAGCAACTCAAGGGTTGCATTTTTGACATGGAAATCTATGAGGATATGACTAATAAGGATTCTTTTCTGGTAAATATTCTTTAAGAAAAATAAAACTGAGTTTCAGCAGAGACAGAACTTACTGCCAACTATAGTTACCAGTTTGTGATGATTTGTATAACCGAGCTTTCAATTTTGCAAATTAAACCATTCCCTTTAGTGTGAGACATCTTTTTGTCTAATAATTTTTCTTCCAAAATGAAACAGTTTCCTTCACTGTCAAACAGG